TGCCTCGCGCCGGGCATAGGTGATCTTCTTAAACGAATACCGGCCCTTTGTTCTGAAGAACAGAAAGCTTACTGTGAAAATATTAGTGGATACAGTGCGGTTTACCGTATATGTTTCGCCGGCGCTCTTTATTACTTCTTCATGTCACTCCTGATGATACGTGTTACCTCCTCGAGGGACTGTAGAGCGCACATCCAGAACGGATTCTGGTTCTTCAAGATCGCCATTATCATTGGCATTATGATTGGTGCCTTTTTCATCACCGATCCAGCATTCATAACGACCTGGATGTTCTTTGGGATTGTGCTTGGCTTCCTTTATATTCTGGTTCAATTAGTTCTACTTGTTGATTTCGCGCACTCGTGGAACGAAATGTGGGTCAATGCATACGAGGAAACTGAATCTCGCATATATGCTTGCGCTCTTCTGTTCACCACCTTCTTTTTCTACGGATTATCAATCGCTGCGGTGGTCCTATTTTATATTTATTTCGGTAACGCTAGTATTTGTGTGCTTGGAAAGACTCTCACCAGTTTCAACCTCATTCTGTGTGTAATTGCGACCATCGTTTCCATATTGCCGGCGATCCAAGAAAAGACGCCCAGGTCCGGTCTTCTTCAGGTAGGCCGCATTTGTTTCAGTACTCACACGAAAGTACTAGTAGTCGGCATCTTTTTTATGCATTTTCTAAAAAAATACGGCGTCCTTATTAGTCTTATCACCTTCCTGGTGCACCAGAGTAGACGAGCCGTTTTCTGCTGGACAGTTAGGAATGTCCGTCTAGTTATGAGTGTTGCACGGGGCGGACGATGAATAACAATTGTCTTTAATTGTTCCAGATGTGCTCCAGCTATCTTATCAGTGAGTCATCACTATGCCCCTCGAGACGGGACCGGGAAATCTCACTCACATATTTTATTTTGGTCAACCCTGGTAAATAATCTCCAGTTCTTACCCGTTTTCCACGCACGCAACACAGCAACCACAACCTTACGAGAGAACTGATTTAGCGAATGACCGAGTACAAGCAGGCCTCTGGTGATTCAAACACCGCGACAATATTTCTTGGCGGTTTTCACAAACCCCGCAACCAAAGTCGATTTGAATTACGGTCCCCTCCGCACTGTATGTTCGGCATCCACATAGGTGGTTTGGACACGTTCTCCGTCGTCCGCCTCACGAGCTTAGCTATGTTGCACTCGACCCGGCGCCGCAGCCCACCTGGAGGCGTGGAAGAGGAGGGCAACTGAAGACTTGGCTCGACACCGTCCGTCAAGATAAGGAAGCAGTTCTTGGACCTTCTATCTTCGGTCTCCGTCGCTGGAGAAGAGACTGGGTAGAACTCTCCAGCTCCCCCTGCCGCCAATCGTCACGCATTGAGAGATACCGTCCGTTGCATCTTTGAGGCCAATTAGATCAAACATGATTACAGTCGTATTAAGTACAAATAACAGGTACAAGTACACCTAGCTCCCAGATCTATAGAACTGCTGGCTTACCCAGAATGACAGCTGTTAATCCCAATAGATGTCTTGAGATATCAGGCATATATCTTGAGCATACTTTAATCTCAGCATTGCTGAGTAAACCGAATTATTTTAAGACCTAATGGACCCACAGCACTATTTTGTAAGTACTTACTTGTACTTGTAACGGCATTCACCTCGGGCGGGTTGAGCCG